ATTATTATTATTATTATTGTTTGAAGAAAAAAGAACCAAATTTTTATCTGTGACACGACAGATTTTTCTTAATCCATCATACACATTGCGAAATGAGTGCAGACTGATCCTTTTAAAACAAACTAATCTTATATTTTCTTAGTGAGTCTGATAAAAGTCTGATAAAAGTCACGATACATTCGACTATTACAGGCATTATCATTTCGTATTGTATCGGTTTCGCGTGCATGTTTATATAAGTCATTTTTGCTATCGCGCTTTAAAAAGCGCGTTGTGCTCGTAATCATAATCATAATTAAGAAAAGATCTAGAACTTGCAAAATTCAGTGCGATAATCGTCTCGTGTCGTAACGCGAGCAAAGGAAACTTTGGAACGATCGTTACAGAAACTTGTTTGCTATCGTAAAAATATAAATTCACTGTGATACACTGCGTACAGATGTCTCGTTAAGAGATAACTTTTCGATGAATTGGCAGGTGGAATGTTGAGGCTGACTTGACGAAAGAATTTTTATCAAGTCACAGGAGGATCTCTTGCGAAAGTTGATGTTCCTCGAAAGTTTGATTGAGAGCGTAATCGAATAACGCGCGATCGCGTTAACGTGATGTCGTTGATTTAATTTTAAAAGGAAGTTCTAACAATTGAGATTGACAAATGTTTCATGCGCTTTTCTCAAGTGTACAATTATATCGTACGGCCACGCGATATCGATCGATGTGTCATTTTGTTATACAAGATTGATGAATCGTAATAATTCGCCTACACGAACATTCATCTTCAAAATTGGATATATTTGCCGGTGTATTTTTAGAACGGCTATCGTTAATCTTGCGCCTGCAATTGATTCAACGATTTCCCTCATTTCTTCGGCGTCTTCTCACCCTTGCTACATATATCACCGCACGTTCCAATACGTGATATTTTCAAAATGCAGAATAGGCTCTGGCCGATTCTTCGATCGGTGGCGATTGCTGTCGATATTCCGCGGGATATTTTTGCGTAAAGTGGAAACGTAGTAGTAATTTTTCGAAATTTTTTTTTTTTTTTTATTCGTCACATGTTCCTTCCACTCGTGTCTCGCGTAATCGCACGCAACAAGAGGAGATTTTGCGTAATAAAAGAAACCGCGAGGATGTTCATTTCATTTCTCTCGAGATAATCGCTTTAAATTTTCAAGGATCTCCAGACGGAGCGTGTCACGTCGGCGTAGCGCCGTGCCTGCGTGACCATTTCGACTAAAAAAACGAAAGTCATATTCTTGAGTACACGTCGAGTCTCTCGTCACATGTGTCGGGCAGATGCGGAGAGCCTTAAAGCAATCAGGTGACGACTCGCCCACCGAGCGAGTATAACGGCAGGAAAGGATCGCGAAGTACGCTCATTAGCAGATAATTCGAGATGCATTCCGGCGCAATAAGCGCGCGGAAACGGCCAATTGTCTTTCGAGACAGAGAGTACGAAATGCACTTTCAACTTCCGCGAAAATCTTCCGGGCGTGTTTAACGGCCGATCCGTTAGAGAGCACGTCGATCTGGACCGGGCAGAAAATATTGACCGATCTTTATAAAGATCGAGTTATATGTTTTTTTTTTAGTAGAAATTGAGAATAAAGATGATGCCTCTCAATGGTGTTAATCTCAGATGGAGTTTTCCATTTAGAGTTTGTTTCACTTTTTGAAAAGAAAATTTTCGCAGATAACAGAATAGATATGAGTGAAGATGAACAAACATAATAATACCTCGAAAAATGTAAATATTTTCCGATGGCAAAATTGTGTTTCTCTTCAAAGTAAATGGGCAAACTTTGAGTGGAGTTCTGAATATTAATGAATAACGAATAATTCTGATGGTTTAGAATTAGAACTCTATTTTATTAATACGTTGCTCGTCATTATTCATCAATATTCATTGTATTGTATCCCAATTTTCCTTTTTACTGAGATTTACATTTCAACAATCAAGTGTAATAGATATTTTCTTTTTTTTTTTTTTTTTCAGGTTTCTGCCGCAGTCAAGACTTCAGTTACGAGGGAGATCACGGTGGGCGCAAGAAGTTCGTTATTCCGAAATTTAATATTAATACGAATTCTGAAATGAAGCCGATCTTGTTTTTCCGTGTTAGGTCCGTCGCATTGGGGTGAAGAGTATCACTCGTGTGTCGGGAAACACCAATCGCCCATTAACATAGAAGAGCACAATGTCAAGAACATCAGCCTGCCGCCGTTGAGATTGATCGGCATTGATAATCCGTGCCAGTCGTACGTGACGAACAACGGTCACACGGGTAAGAATGTCACGGTTCGGATCTGCATTCGGCACGCCGAGGCAGAAAAAGGAACATTGAATTCATGTCATTTGCCTGGCTTTCTCGCGTTCTCGCGTTCACTTTTAACTTAACGCGAGATCCCATTGGGAAATCCCTCGCGATCGCGTTCACGCGAGGGGGATTAAAGTCGAGAAGTACGTTTCGTCGCGGCGTAATCGGAAAAACGACAAGACCAGGAAAAAGAGACTTTGCATCATGTAATTATAATTATCGTTCCTGGTGGTATAAACAAACAGATAAATCACATGAATGTTGAATAGAAGTGAGTGTGGAACAAAAATTGGTCAAGCACCAGTTTTTGTTCCAAGACAAAAGCTCGGCGAACGCGCCGGCTAAATCACGCCGTTGATGATCTTAATCATTTTAATATCGTAATCGAGCTCGGAGATACAGAGATTATATTTAATATGTAATATCGACGTTACATAAAAAAAGATATCATTGATAATTGCTATTGCACTCGTAATATTCTGTTATCTTTGATAATTGCTTATTACACGTATTATACAATCTTCTTTCCTTCTTGCGTTTAGCTATGTTGAAGACCAACGAATCCAAGCCGGTCATGTTGTCCGGAGGACCATTGAGAGATAACATTTACATTTTCGAACAGTTGCATTTTCATTGGGGCGAAAACGATTACGAGGGATCCGAAGATTTAATTAACAACCACTCGTTCCCGATGGAAATGCACGCCGTTTTTTACAAGAGTGATTACAAATCGATGGACGAAGCTCTTAAGCATGATGATGGTCTGGCTATTTTAGCATATTTGTACGAGGTAAGAAGTCGTGTTGTTTCAGAAATTTTAATTGACATACGTGATTTATAAATAATTTTTTTCTAATAAAATCACGCAGGTAAGCCGTCAACCAAATCCTACGTACGAACCTATTGTAAAAGTGCTACCCGATATAGAAGTGGTGGGTAAGGGGAAAATATTGCAAGAATCCTTGTTATTAGAAAAAATTCTTGTGCCAGATATTGCGAGCATGCAAGACTACTTTACGTATAGCGGCTCATTAACTACTCCACCTTGTCTCGAAGTTGCCACGTGGATTGACTTTAAGGATCATCAACAATTATCACACAAACAGGTTTCGTAACAAATGCAAATACAAAACGTAAAAAAATGAAAATTGTTTCGTTTACACACACACACACACACACACACACACACACACACGCGCGCGCGCACACAACGTATGTACCGCCTAATTTGATGCAATAGAAAAATATATGTGGATGTTTAATTTTAGTTGGCTGCGTTTCGCGACTTACAGAACACCAGGGCAACAAATTGACTCACAACTTCCGGCCGGTACAGCCTTTAGAAGACCGAGTGATTTTTCAAAACATTCCAAAAGAACAGCACATGCCGCATAATCGTTTTTTCGGTGGTCATTCAGGACAGAGAAATGTCAAGGTATCAATTGCGTGTGTCGCATTGATAGCTCTTGTGGCAGTCTTTTTATTCGCCATATGAAGTCTTTGATATGAAACATTCTAGTCAATAATGTTTCTTAATTGTTAACTTTAGTTTTTAAGGAGAATGACGATAATTCGTGAAGAATCAGAACTATTAAATATTTTATAAATATTATAAATGTTTTATAAAATCAAAGCATATTTTATAATGGATTGACGATTGAGATATTTACTTGAGTAAATATTCATTCTAAAGCGATTTCTTAAATAGATTTTGTAATCTATTTAAAATTTGCAATAGAAAACATTTTAGATGATAATTTAGCATTTCAGCGATAACTTATTTCTTAACATTAACAAAAGCGATTTAAGATCATTGCATACAAACATATTAATTAAATTGTTAACTTATGTACATAATAAAATAGCGATTAATAATGATATAATAATTTCCAAGATATAATATATAAAATTAAACTTAGATACTAAAATAAATGAATTTGTCATTCTCTGTATGAACGAGTTTAAACAAGAAAGAGAAGAGAGAGGAGAGAAAGAGAACAAAAATGTTTATTTCATAAAGAGTCATAAGTTATTTATATACTCTATATGTTACAAATAAAAAATAATGAAGAGATAAAGAAATGTTAAATAATGTTGAAAATATATATTCTATAAATAAAAAAATATATAATTTATATTACAAAATGGTTTTAATAACAATATTATTATCCTTTGTCGGAATTATTTACATAAGCTGCTAGATTTTGTTGGCCTTGCTTGAGACGTGCTCTCACTTCTTCTGCTATCGCTTTCTGCGTTCTCCTTTCTAATATCTCTAATTTTTTGGCTATATCCCGTTTGAGATCCCAATCAGGTTTTCTTGGTGCTAGATTACTGATATCCTAAATAAATAAAAAATTATATTTTAAAGAAAATTTCAATAATATGATACAGCTATTTTCAGAAAATACATGATGACATATAGAAATCAAGAAAATTTTAATAAATCATCTTTGACTTAACTTTTTTGATAATTCTAAATTAATTTTTAATAAAAATGTTAAAAAACTATCCTGTCATCGATAGGTAAAAGGTGCTACAGGAATATTCAATGGGACATCCTGTGCAGGACTTACCAGTTCTTCGATAACCACTTTACTCTTCGCAGCGTCCAATTGTTCTTGAACTACGGATTCCACATCACCAGGTTTCGCATCCTCTACCATATTATTCTTCAAACTTTCATCCTGCGGTTTATAACTCCGGAATTTTGGCCTGAAAAGACATGAAACTCTTACTGACTTTAACAGTGAGGTTAGATAACCTGTAGTGATGAAAACAAAATTTACTTCGGTAAATTTTCAATCATATTGCTCGAATTTTCCTTGCCTTCTTCATTCTTCCTCTTGAGCGCCTGAAGCCGCTCTTTTCTCTTTAAAGCTTCTTCTTCTAACGAGCCAATCTTCTCTTCCATTATTTTTAAACACTCGCGAGTTTACAGATGACACTTGTGAGTATCAGTGAGTCTGGAGTAAAAGTCTGGATATTGTTGGGGATCTTTGTTACCAGGTAGTTTTTCGCGCATGCGCAGCGAGTTTGATCTCAATAAAATACAATTAATCTTTGAGAAGAAAATGATATCGTGTATAATATCGATATTGATATAAAAAAATAAACGTATCTATTTACATATAAAGAACGTTTCTATGCGACTTAAAATAAATATTTTATTTTTAATCGGGGCAAAAGTAGCAGGATATCAATGTTTGTTGCAAGAATAAGAGAAACTGGCCAAAATTGACAGATTTTTTTCTACATCGAAAGTGAATTTTTTACTTTTTCCCAGCTTCTTTTGCGATGTCTATTTGTATATTAATTTACCTATTTATTTACCTATTTAAATGTCTTATTTCGAGGTCCACCAAATTTTCCTGATAATGTCCAGCACATTACAGCATTACAACTGCTATGCCACGCATGCGCTGAGAATACTATTGAATCATAAATCGAATATAGCAACATTCGATTATCATAAAAAGTTTATTTCATATAGTTCTAAATTATTCTATAGAAAATAATTGTATTGTATTAATTTAATTATAAACTTAAATAATTATATGACCAAGAAAATTTATTTAAATAATAAGTTACGAATAATAATTAAGAATTTAGCAATCGAGCAATTTGTATTCTTAGAGGTATATTTACGCCAATGTGTTGCCAATATTGATACTATGTACCAATTTCAAATGACACAAATTTATAATGCAATTAAAATTTTTGTAAATAATTAATATTGAAATTTCTAAATTCCAAATAACTTATAAAAATTATTATTCATTCAATTTTCTGTAATTTTAAAATTTCATTTTTATTTACTAAAAATTTTAATCCATTCATAATAAGCGTATAATAAAAATACATTATGACTTTTTAAATTAAAAAAATTTTTTTACGTATATATTTACACTTTAATAGACATCGTCGACCTTTTACACGGTGAATTTGCGATGTAAATAATATACAACTTTTTTGTAAACAAATTAGTTTATTAACATTTATACACAAGAGTTCATACAATCCAGCATCAGATAAATTATAAGCAATTTATATCGATATTACGCCTAGTTACTACTATTATACTATTATATTTTATTTTATTTTATGTTATTTTATTTTAATGTTATGTTCAGTCGCGCAAGTCTCAACTAGCGCTCGTAAAGGACTCGCATTTATGAACGAATCGCCGTCTCAACTTTCGCTCACGCAGTCGCTCGCTCTCGCCGAAGGTGCATCGTACCCAACGTCGATTTCAGTTTCGAGACAAAGCTTGAATTTATAATCAAGATAAATTTATCATTACTTGGAAGCGGGCAACTCTGGAGATTCCTATAGCGTTTCGTATTCGAACACCATTCAAATAAATAGCGCTACGAAGATGAGTCACGATCTGTTATCTGATCACCAAAGAGAATTATGAGAATAAGAATTATGAAGCAAGGCGCATTTCTTTTCAACACGAGCGAGCACGTAGTAGATATGAGATGTACATATAATTCAAATGTACGGTAAGATAACGAGACAGATTATAATCAACGTTATTACGCTTGTCGACACCAGGGCGATAGCGAAACAGATGTGATACCCGATAAATCAAATTAACAATCGCCTTTACAGTTAAGCTCGGATGATTAACGTTACCTTTAGTAAGACAAGAGAGATGCCGATGTCCCACGAGATTCGCCGATTCGCCCGCCGGGTGAAATCACGGATCTGTGCCAAACGTTTGTGAAATTGAGGACATACACGTATATATACACGCGAGAGATGTGTCTCCCGCGCCGGCGGCTTCCTCGTCGGCATTGTGCGCTACCCGCCGGGGAAAGTTTATTTACAGTCGAAGAGGTGTTTTCAATCCCGATGCGCGGCTCGATGCACGACTTCGCGAGACCCCCTCTGATCCCGAACGAGCTCTCCGCGCTATGCACTTTGTCGTCGTGCGTACTTGTATGTATGTATGTATACGTATGCATACGTGACGTTTGTACGTGTACATATGCGTGTTGTGTTACAAACTAACTCGAATAATATACACGCAGGCCATATCGTGAAACAACAGCTAATCAACAGCTGTAGAGTTTTGGTCTTCGACAGGTCCTTGGTCCTTTGACATTTCCTTCAAATTCAACCGAAGAAATAATCAGGAATGAATGAATTAATTAATTTTCTCGGGGAGCATAAATGACTCCTTTTTACGCACGAGTTAAATTATAAATTTAAAATAAGAAAATTAATATATTAGAATTATTTAATTTGATTAATTTCGAAAGTTAGTTTTTTTTTTTTTTTTTTTTTTGGTCTAAATTTTGTAAACTTGTATTTTCGAGAATAAATTGCGAG